TATACTGGCGCGCCGGAGTATACCAGTGTATACTGGCGCGCCGGAGTATACCAGTGTATACTGGTGCGCCAGAGCATAGCAGTGTATACTGGTGCGCCAGAGTATACCTGTGTATACTGGTGCACCAGAGTATACCAGTGTATACTGGTGTGCCAGAGTATACCTGTGTATACTGGTGCACCAGAGTATACCAGTGTATACTGGTGTGCCAGAGTATACCAGTGTATACTGGTGTGCCAGAGCATAGCAGTGTATACCCTCTTCCCCTCCGGCCCGTTGGCGCCGTGAGGAGGCTTAGTGGACAACTGTCGGAGTGTGTTGCTCCGTGGAACAGTCCTCTGTCCTTTTGTGTCCTTGCACTCCTGCTGCTGTCTTCTCTAATTGTGTCGGATCGCTTTTCCTTTTCCTTATGTTTCGTTTTTCTCCCCCCTCTTCTCCTGTCTGCTTGTCGTTTCCTGCTGACCTTTTGCTTGTTTTGGTTATTCCTTTGGACTATTTCTATTTTAACGCCTGGGTGCTTGAGGAGGCATACTCTTGCACCCGTAGAACTGTAGTACCCAACGTCTCGAGCGAGGGGAACCTTCTACTGTCAATCCCCCTTTTGTCGCTGAACCCTATCTCGACGGACTCACAGTTCTTAAGGTGACGTTTGTGGGGTGTATACTCACGACCCACCCCTAGGGGGCCCCGGCATGATCGGCGATAGCTTCTTGTTGGGTGTCCTGCCTCTAAATGTTGCTCCATGGTTGGTATGGGGGCACATTCGCGGATGAATTTATCACTCTTCATCTGTATGTCATTGAATGTTTCTGTTGTACCCTCTTGGGCTCGTGGGGAGGGCGACCAAGCCCCCGAGTCGGCCAGTCTTGGAAGACCGGGCTCTGTAGCCTCCGCTGCGTTGGACCCCGACCTTGCTCCTCCTTTGACTCTCCTGACTTCTTTCCCTAGCTCCCCTCCGTCCTCTGTGGTTGGGTCGAGCCTCAAACCCACAGTGGTGACCACTTCGTCCCCTGGTGCGGCTAAGTCTTTCGTTGTGACAACTGCGCCTTTTGTCCTCTCTCTCTCTGGGGGTTCTCAACGCTGTCCGCGCCACATCCGCACTCGCTTGATTCCTTCCCAAACTGATGCGTATCAAGCCTTGTTTGGTCCTGCTTCATGAGCCAAATACTTTGATCTCCTTCTTCTTGATTCTGCACCTCCTGACAATTTCTCCCTCCATCGGCATCTTGTTGATTCCGTGGATGCGTCTGTTACCATAAACCCCACTCGTCTCGGTACACGTGTCATTTCTGCTCCTTCTCATGATGCAGCTTCCCGCTTGGCTGCCTTATCTTGCCTAGGCGAGATCCCTGTTCGGGTCTCAATGAATGCTCAATTGAATGCCAGTGTTGGCACTATTCTCCTCTCGCCCCATGTTGAGACTGGTGTTTGGAATCTGCAAGACTGCCACGATGACATTCGGCATATCCGTGATGCCCAAGGCCATTCTGTTCTCCAGGTGGACTCGTTTACTCGTCCCCCTCGTGGTCGTCGCCGTCAACCCCTTCGGGTTGTGAAGATCACCTCTGATGGTAGGTCCCTTCTATCCTCTGTTATTCTTGCTGGTGCAATGTGCTCTATCCAGGAGTATATTCCTTCTCCTCGGCTTTGTAACAAGTGCTGGAGGTTTGGGCATGGTGCCCTCTGCTGCTCTGGGACTGTCTCTCTCTGTTCTTTGTGTGGGGGTGAAGGTCACTCTAAGTCGAAGTGCACTTCTCCCCAAGCTCGCTGCCTCAACTGCGGTGAGGCCCATCCTACCTTCTCCCATGCCTGTATCCATTACAAGCTTGAGGCAGCCGTCCTCAACTTGAAGCACCGGGAGCGTTTATCTTTTCCTGAGGCGAGGCACCAGGTTCGCTGGCTCCCACCTTATGATAACGTCTCTTATGCTCGCGTGTTGCGCTCTTCCTCTCCTCGTCCTTCCCACCTTCCTCAGACTCACAACCGTTTCCAGGCTTTGGACTCTGATACGCCCATTGCCCTCTCCTCTGTTCATTTGAGTTCTGTCCCGAAGGGTCCCCCTCCTGGTCCTCTGTCTGGGGTTCCCCTTCTTTCTACCAGGTCTGTCATGTCTCCTGTGTCTTCTTCCTTGTCTCCCTCCGATCCTCCTTGCCATCCTTCTCCTCCGTCTGTTGACTCTCTCCATTGCCTGTCGGTGCGGGCTGATGTCCATCGCTCTCCTAACGGCCGTCGTTTGTGCTCTCGTTCAGCTTCTCCTGTTGAGACGCTGGAATCCGTTGTCCGGTACGTAGTTGCTGGGACACCGGTCTTTTTAAGTCAGAAGCGTAAGCCTGGCTCCTCTCCTTTCTCCTCCCCGGTGGGTAAGAAGGCTTCTCTTTCTTCCTCGGCCCCTACTACTGGCTTTGTTGCTCCTTCTCCTCCCATTTCAGTGGATGCGCCGCCTGTTCCTGCTATGGAGGTTTCTTTGGTCCCTGCTTCCCTCTCGGTCGCTGCCCTTGCTGAGGTGCGCTCCCCTCTTTCTACTCCCCCTCTTCCTGCTTCTGTCCTTGACTGCTCCTCTCCGTTGTCTCCTCCTCTTCCTCCTCCTCCTTCGGACCCCGCCCGCCCACCCTCTAGTCTGTTCTCCTGCTTCCATCCCTCCGTCTTTGCTCAGTTTACCCATGCCCCCTAACCCTGACTTTGCTGACCCTGATCCCGACCCTGATATTCTTTAACGTGCTGTGTTGCTCTTTCGCCTTTGTTTCTTCCTTGTTCTCTGTTGTTGTCCTTTCTCTTCTCGTCGATGTCTATTCTTCAATGGAAAGTTCGAGGTTATTATGCCAATTTCCTCGAACTCTAACTTCTGATTTTGCGGTTTTCGCCCCTTTGTATCTGTCTCCAGGAACCGATGCCTGGTGCTCGTCCTGGTCGTTTTCGTGGCTATTCCTTTCTCCCCCCCCCCCCCAGCTGTTGCTGGGGCTTCTAATTCTTCTGCTCTCTCTATTCGCTCTGATGTTCCCTTTGTCCCCTTACTTTTTCCTTCGCCTCTCCATTGTTCTGCTGCTCGTATCTTTGTGGGGAAATGGTACACAGTTTGTTCCATTTAGCTTTCTCTTCCTGATCTGAAACACCTCCTGGATTCCTTACCGGAGCCTGTGCTCCTGCTGGGTGATTTCAATTGTCGTCATTCTCTTTGGGGTGATGTTCTGATGAATAACCGAGGTCGCCTTCTTGAGCCGTTTATCCTCTCTTCTTCCCTGTCTTCCCAACACTGCAGACGGTGTTGGCTACTCTGTTGTTTTTCCTGATCGCACTTATATGTTTCGCTTACCTCTGGAGACTAGCAACTCCACAGCGGACCTTTATGCTATTCTCTATGCTCTTCGTCTCCTGCTTTCTCGTTGTCACTCTTCCTTTGTAGTTGTTGTTGACTCTCATAGTGCCCTCATGGCTCTCCGGTCCTTTAATCCGGTTCATCCCGCAGTTGTCGAGATCCAGCATTGGCTGTTTCTTGTTCACAGTAAATTTAAGTCGGTTGAGTTTTGTTGGATTCCCAGCCATATTGGTGTCTTTAAATGAGCGTGTGGATGCTGCCGCCAAGGAAGCTGTCCGCTTTTGTCCCATCTCTCGTAAAGTTATTCCATATTCCGACTTTTACCCGGTTATCCATTCTTCCATCCTTACCCGTTGGCAGGCTTCTTGGTCGTCTGTTACTGGTAACAAACTACGTACTCTTAAATGTTGTGTTTCCTCTTGGCTGTCCTCCTACCACCGTAACCGGCGATGGGAAACAGCTCTGGCGAGGTTGCATATTGGCCATACTTGCTTAATCCATGGTCACTTGATGGAGCGCCGCCCTGCTCCTTATTGTCCTAATTGCATTGTCCCTCTTACATTCGTGCATGTCCTTCTTGAATGTCCCGACTTCCACGACGAGCGTGTGTCTTGCTTTCCGACCGCCCCTCGCGGTCACCTGTCCCTCAATAGAATTCTTGGTGACTCGGATACTTTTGATATCGTTCGCCTTATGCGTTTTTGTTCTCGTATTGGCATCCTTGGTGATATTTAGCGCCCTCTAATTATTCCGCACATTTGATGGTGCTACATAGCCTTCCCAGTTTGGTGCCTTCTTTTGATAATTATTTACTTACTTACCAGTGTATACTGGTTCGCCAGAGCATACCAGTGTATACTGGTGCACCAGAGCATACCAGTGTATACTGGTGCGCCAGAGCATACCAGTGTATACTGGTGCGCTAGCGCATACCAGTGTATACTGGTGCGCCAGAGCATACCAGTGTATCCTTGTGTGCCAGAGAATTCACTTGAACAATATTTTACACTGATCATACACACACAAACGAGTATACTAAATTATATATACATGCACTAGAATATACTCTAGTTTACACATGTAGTGCACATATTTACACCTGCAGAAGAGCACGCGGGGGAGAGCACACGGGGGAGAGCACACTGAGGAGAGCACACGGGGGAGAGCACACGGGGGAGGGCACGCGGGGGAGGGCACGCGGGGGAGAGCACACGGGGGAGAGCACACAGGGGAGAGCACACGGGGGAGGGCACACGGGGAAGAGCACACGAGGAAGAGCACACGGGGGAGAGCACACGGGGGAGGGCACGCGGGGGAGGGCACGCGGGGGAGAGCACGCGGGGGAGAGCACACGGAGGAGAGCACACGAGGAAGAGCACACAGGGGAGAGCACACGGGGGAGGGCACGCGGGGGAGAGCACGCGGGGGAGAGCACGCGGGGGAGAGCACGTGACGGAGAGCACGCGGGGGAGAGCACGCGGAGGAGGGCACACGGGGGAGGGCACACGGAGGAGGGCACACGGGGGAGAGCACACGGGGGAGGGCACACGGGGGAGACCACACGGGGGAGGGCACACGGAGGAGGGCACACGGGGGAGAGCACGCGGGGGAGGGCACACGGGGAAGGGTACACGGGGGAGAGCACGCGGAGGAGGGCAGAGAGCATAAGAGCTGTGACCGTCCACAGGAGGGTGTGAGGGCCAGCCACTACCCTGTGAGCCGCAGTGTTCAGTCAGAGGGTCGCTGTGCTCCGCCGTCGGCGCCTGCGTCTGCCGCCAGGGTCTGCGGCCCCTCTACTCCGAGAAGCAGCGCTTCCGTCTCACCAGCTGCGTCCCTGTCCGCAACCTGTCCTTCCCCCTGCCTCAGCCTCTGTCCGGGGCCAAGTACCTGCCAGGTGAGTCAGTCTCCGGTGCCAAGTACCTGCCAGGTGAGTAGTCTCCAGAGTGTTGTGACTGGAGATCTTTGATAAGTATTTGTATTTGTATTAATATTATATTAATATTTGTTTTGTATGACTATTGTGTTGTTAGCCGTTGTTGTGAGCTAGGGTCGTGAGTCAGTAGCCCATGTGGTGAATGGTGTGAGTCAGTAGTGCATGTGGTGACTGGTGAGAGTCAGTAGCCCATGTGGTGACTGGTGTGAGTCAGTAGCCCATGTGGTGACTTGTGTGAGTCAGTAGCCCATGTGGTGAATTGTGTGAGTCAGTAGCCCATGTGGTAACTGTTGTGAGTCAGTAGCCCATGTGGTGACTGGTGTGAGTAAGTAGCCCATGTGGTGACTGGTGAGAGTCAGTAGCCCATGTGGTGACTGGTGTGAGTCAGTAGCCCATGTGGTGACTGTTGTGAGTCAGTAGCCCATGTGGTGACTGGTGTGAGTAAGTAGCCCATGTGGTGACTGGTGTGAGTAAGTAGCCCATGTGGTGACTGGTGAGAGTCAGTAGCCCATGTGGTGACTGGTGTGAGTCAGTAGTCCATGTGGTGACTGGTGTCAGTGTAACAAGAGAGCAGTACATAGTACAGCATGAACAAGCCACGTGGAGGATGAACAAACCACAGGCGCTAGTCAGGCGGCGGCAGACAATGTAAAAGTTACACCTCTGTACAAGTTAGCCATAGTCAGGTCAACGGTCATCGAATTACGAAGAGGTTAGAGTTGATGCCGTCATGATAATCTTCAGGGATTAACCCCTAAACATCAAATGCAAAACCCTCATGTTCAGCTGGGGAGCAAGAGATCATGCTACAGAGTCAGTTGAGTGGGCGCAGCCCAGTAGGGAGGTGTGTGTGTGGACTCGGGGAAGGAACATCATCTCCAGGAAAACTATGGAACAACATACGAGTAAGTACGGCTCTCTTGTACTAAAGCACCTCATTCAGTACCCTTGGCCTCTAGCAGGGAATATAGTTAGGGAGTGTCTTATTTAATTATTTCAAATAAAGTCATATATTAAGTGTTATAAAATGTGTATTAATGGTTCCTTGCCTTAGTGATATTGGGCCTACCGTCCCCTATGTCCCAGTGACCTAGTGTTCTTAATTATCCAGTACTCCTCTCCCCCGTTCGTCTTCCATGTTGAGGTGTTAGTATTGGGTGTGTCCCGCCTTATTCTTGTGTACACTATAGTTCCCAAGTGGTCAGAATTATTCGAGTGTCAGGCCAGGATCCTTGTACCGTTCAATTGTCCCCTACACCTGTCCTGGTAGGTTATTCCATCTGCAAGACCTACGAACCTCACTCCGGTCCCCTGTCCGGTAACTCAGGGTGGTGGCAGCGTCACTCGGTAACTCATGCGATAGGCTGTGACTACGATTATCTCTATCTTTCTGTCTCACTCTCCCTCACTTGTGTCTCACTCTCCCTCGCCCTCACTCGCTCTCGTTCTCCCTCCCTTGCTCTCGTTCTCGCTCTGCCTCACTCTTCCTCTCTCTCCCTCTCTCTATCCTCTGTTTACTGGTTTATGTCTTCGTATGACGGCCCGAGTGTTAACATCTTACATGATCGATAGCATCTGTTATTACCATAGAAAGAGCGGAGATTGCACGGTTAGCTCAGTGGTAGTAGCGGGTGCGCGGTCGAGATATACAAGGCTGGTTATTACATCAGTAGCCCATGTGGTGACTGTTGTGAGTCAGTAGCCCATGTGGTGACTATTGTGAGTCAGTAGCCCATGTGGTGACTGTTGTGAGTCAGTAGCCCATGTGGTGACTGTTGTGAGTCAGTAGCCCATGTGGTGACTGCTGTGAGTCAGCAGCCCATGTGGTGACTGTTGTGAATCAGCAGCCCATGTGGTGACTGGTGTGAGTCAGTAGCCCATGTGGTGACTGGTGAGAGTCAGTAGCCCATGTGGTGACTGGTGAGAGTCAGTAGCCCATGTGGTGACTGGTGTGAGTCAGTAGCCCATATGGTGACTGGCGTGAGTCAGTAGCCCATGTGGTGACTGGTGTGAGTCAGTAGCCCATATGGTGACTGGTGTGAGTCAGCAGCCCATGTGGTGACTGTTGAGAGTCAGCAGCCCATGTGGTGACTGGTGTGAGTCAGTAGCCCATGTGGTGACTGGTGTGAGTCAGCAGCCCATGTGGTGACTGTTGAGAGTCAGCAGCCCATGTGGTGACTGGTGTGAGTCAGTAGCCCATATGGTGACTGGCGTGAGTCAGTAGCCCATGTGGTGACTGGTGAGAGTCAGTAGCCCATGTGGTGACTGGTGTGAGTCAGTAGCCCATATGGTGACTGGCGTGAGTCAGTAGCCCATGTGGTGACTGGTGTGAGTCAGTAGCCCATGTGGTGACTGGTGTGAGTCAGTAGCCCATGTGATGACTGGTGTGAGTCAGTAGCCCATTTGGTGACTGGCATGAGTCAGTAGCCCATGTGGTGACTGGTGTGAGTCAGCAGTCCATGATGTGACTGGTGTGAGTCAGTAGCTCATTTGGTAACTGGTGTGAGTCAGTAACCCCTGTGGTGACTGGTATGAGTCAGTTGTCCACGTGGTGACTGGTATGAGTCAGTTGTCCACGTGGTGACTGGTATGAGTCAGTTGTCCACGTGGTGACTGGTATGAGTCAGTTGTCCACGTGGTGACTGGTATGAGTCAGTTGTCCACGTGGTGACTGGTCTGAGTCAGTTGTCCACGTGGTGACTGGTCTGAGTCAGTTGTCCACGTGGTGACTGGTATGAGTCAGTTGTCCACGTGGTGACTGGTATGAGTCAGTTGTCCACGTGGTGACTGGTCTGAGTCAGTTGTCCACGTGGTGACTGGTCTGAGTCAGTTGTCCACATGGTGACTGGTCTGAGTCAGTTGTCCACATGGTGACTGGTATGAGTCAGTTGTCCACGTGGTGACTGGTATGAGTCAGTAACCCCTGTGGTGACTGGTATGAGTCAGTTGTCCACGTGGTGACTGGTATGAGTCAGTTGTCCACGTGGTGACTGGTATGAGTCAGTTGTCCACGTGGTGACTGGTCTGAGTCAGTTGTCCACGTGGTGACTGGTCTGAGTCAGTTGTCCACGTGGTGACTGGTCTGAGTCAGTTGTCCACGTGGTGACTGGTCTGAGTCAGTTGTCCACGTGGTGACTGGTCTGAGTCAGTTGTCCACGTGGTGACTGGTATGAGTCAGTTGTCCACGTGGTGACTGGTCTGAGTCAGTTGTCCACGTGGTGACTGGTCTGAGTCAGTTGTCCACATGGTGACTGGTCTGAGTCAGTTGTCCACATGGTGACTGGTCTGAGTCAGTTGTCCACGTGGTGACTGGTCTGAGTCAGTTGTCCACGTGGTGACTGGTATGAGTCAGTTGTCCACGTGGTGACTGGTCTGAGTCAGTTGTCCACGTGGTGACTGGTCTGAGTCAGTTGTCCACGTGGTGACTGGTATGAGTCAGTTGTCCACGTGGTGATTGTTATGAGTCAGTTGTCCACGTGGTGACTGGTATGAGTCAGTTGTCCACGTGGTGACTGGTATGAGTCAGTTGTCCACGTGGTGATTGGTATGAGTCAGTTGTCCACGTGGTGACTGGTATGAGTCAGTTGTCCACGTGGTGACTGGTATGAGTCAGTTGTCCACGTGGTGACTGGTATGAGTCAGTTGTCCACGTGGTGATTGGTATGAGTCAGTTGTCCACGTGGTGACTGGTATGAGTCTGTGGCCGCTATTATGAGTATGAGTGTATGGTCAACTTTGTTTAGTTATGTCATTGTGATGATATTTACTATGAGTACATACTTCTACTGCTGTCTTATTTAACGAGTTCAAATTATGAGTTTGTGGGCGCTTGCTTCAGCTGCAGCCTATCATCATCTGAGACCATTATATCATAATACTCGATCTGCTGACATCTCTTAGTTTGAATAGTTTGTTGGTAACATCACTTGGGCTTATAGTCCCTCCGTCATCCATAACACTGACCCCTCTTCTGAGGTGTTCTCTCACAAGTTGCACATTAAACACAGATTCTTGTTAAAATGAGCAGAGGGTAAAGTATAGTTAGGTAATATAGCATGGGAGGTGTGTGGTGTTTGTCACCTCTACAACCCGTTTATTTAAACTGTGACAGTCTGGGACCCGTCTCTGTCATAATATTTTAGTTTTTCATCTGGTAGAAGATAAACATCAGAAACTCAAGCAGTCAATAAACACGGTCCACCTTCGGAAGGTTAAATTGGCGTCCGCCGGTCTTACCACATCACTCGCCCTATGATACCAGATCTCTTATCATTCCTGATCAAACTCTATAATTATTCATTTAACCGTACTCCCTTAGTTGGTTATATAAATGACTACATTTTTATTCACAAAAGATTCCCATACAATATTATAATTGTGTATATATTACACAATAAATCTCCAATTCTAGATACTAGTTTCCTTGACGGAGTGATATTAGCAATACGCGACCTCTCAGCTGCAGGTTTCTTTCAGGAAATGTTTCCTCTATTACATTTATGTAGCTTTCTCTCTCTCTAAGCTTAATCTCCCCCTCGCTTTCCAGCCCGTTGTCGACGTGAGGGGGACAGATGAGCGGCTGCCGGGGTGTGATGCTCCATGTGGCGGTCGTCTGTTTTTTGGAAGTCTCATGCTCCTGCTGCCGTCTTCATTAATTTTGCTAGAAGCTATTTTCTCTTCCTTCTTTTTAATTTTTACTGCTCTCACTTCTCCTTTCAAATTGTCGTTTCCCGCTGACCTTTTGCCATTCTTGATTATTCTTTCAGACTTCTGCTGTTTTGACGCCCGGGTGTTTGAGGAGGCACACTCACTCACCTGTAGAACTGTGGTACCCGACGTTGCGAGCGAGGGGACGCATTTATTTGTCAATCCTCGTCTTTGTTACTGAACCCGATCTCGTCGGACTGACAGTTCTTAAGGTGGGGATTGCAGGGCATATACTCTCGATGCACCCTTCGCGG